CAGTGATGATTTAAGTGCCTGGGAGTGAAATAACATACTCTTTTATTTTTTTGGTTCTCAGATCCAAGTCTAAAGATAAAGGCTTTCTCTGAAGATTTGGGGAAATTTTTATCTTATAATGATGGTTAATAATAGAGAGCACATTAAGTAATAGACTGACTGCCCATGGGCTGAACACACTGCACGATTCATGGAGCCAAGCAGAAAACAAGCAAAGGGTGTCTCTTTAGGGCTTTCATGTGGCATTCTCAATTTTTGTTGTTGGACACCAAGTTTTTAATCTTTTTATGTGCAATCATTTTCAAAAATGCAGACTGGGAGGGGAACCTGAACAGATTTGGACCCTTGAAAGCAGTTTAGTAGTGTTTGTGAAGAAGTTTCCCTGAACTATCAAGGGCTATCCCTATGTTAATCTCCATGGCTTATTAAAACTAATGCAGTGTCACAGAAATAGTCTGCGAAAGCTGGAGCTGGGGAACATAGCCTTTTTAACAGGGTTCTATTTACAGCTTGATCCAGGACATGTCCTTAGTACCTTTTCTTATGAATGTCTCTTCCATGTGTCATGAGCAGAGGTCTCAATAACCAACAAAAAACACAGCTAGATAGGTGATTTAACAGATTATAAATTCTTCCTTCTTCCCTCTGTATCCTGAGAAACAGTCATTGACTGGATTTGTGCAATGTACTTCATATTAAAAAGAAGACACATAGACAAGGGACAAACCCATCATAGAGAGGACACAAATTACACATCCCAGCTAAAAGTCTCATGAAAAACATCACTACCTAAAATTTTTCTTTAGACAGATATTCAAAACTTGCTGCTTTAATTTGGGCTGATTTACTGTAAGTCAATATTGTCCAAAGTACTCCTCTTGTTAATTACATTACCTGTTCATTGCTTGGATATTTTTAAAGTGACATGGTTTTGATATCTTACAATTCAAGATAGCCAGCACATAAAGTGTTCCCAAAGGTGCAACATTCTGTCAGGTCTACATTCCTACAGAAAAGTGCAGAAATTTCCCATGTAACCATAGGAGCTCTTCAGTAGGATACAGGAAAATATGTCCCTGTTTTACCCTGGACAGAGTCTGCTGCACTGAAGGAATACAATTTAACTTGCCATGTTGTGCCATTTGTATGTCCTTTGTAAAATACCTGTAAAGGCCCTGTGTATATAAAAGAGATGTCACAGTAAAGTATTCTAACTTTGCAATGGTATAGCTTGGTTATACAAGGCTCTTAATAAACTAACAAAACAGCACTGGAGAAGTGAGCAATATCTTTCAATTATAAGTACTTGTCAGTACTTTTTTCTGTCAAATTTTTCAATTATTCCCTGGACTTTGAGTAGACAGGACAAAAACATATTATTCTTACTCTGTAACTCCTGAATATTTCCATCCTGGTATTTTATGCCTTTGTCAGTCAGTTTAAAGAAAAGTAAGGGAAGAATTTTAAAAATTAAGTGGAAAATAAAATATTGATCTACCTTGGGAAGGAAAAGAAAAGTAATAAAATCACATACCTTCAAATTTTGTCATCAAGACAAGCTCGGAAGTTATGAAGCATTTATAGAGACAATCAGAGTTAATTTAATTTCAGATACTCAAACATATATATATAAATTATCCTCCTAAAAATACAGTTCCCTTTTTGCCTGTAATAATACTTCCCTGGTTCTAGACCTATCTAAAATGAAGAAATTCCCTCGGTGGAAGGAAATGAACCCACAGCTGTGATTTCAGCATTTTCATCTGCTGCCATGTTAACTTCAGACTTGAGGTCAGAAAGTATTCTTCACTTTGTTAGAGGGAAAAGTAACAAAAAACCCCCAAAGGAATCTGGCACTTTCTGCAAAAGGTTGTTAAGAGAAGCAGAGCCATCACTCAGCATATTTGAAATGAACATTGCAATGGAATTACTAGTCCCCAAAAATGTTTCAATTCATAATCAAATTAGCAGCTCAAGGTTTAGGGAGTGAATTAGAATAAATTGCCTGTGCAGTCTTCATAATTTTTCATTCCTTCCTTTTATTTAGGAGATAAAAATTAAATGTGATTTGAAATGGTATGTAATACAGTACTGCTTAGCAGTATTTCATAATTCTTAACAAGAATAATTAGATCCTCTGGTCTTATTTGAAACCACTATAACCTCTATTAAACTTGGTGAGGGGAAAGGAAAAAGAAAGAAGAGAAAGGTGAATTTGTCTGTTTTATTGGAAATCAGAATGAAATTCTCTTTAAACAGATACATTCTATTTTTATTGCCTTAGTTGTCTGGGGAAATCTTATTCCATACCTCCTCTACCTTTCACTAAAATAAGATTTTCTAAAGAATTTTGATAAAGCTTCCAATGGCATTTGTTCAGTGACAAAAATGTAATGTGAAAATGAAATCTCAGGGAATTGAAAGAATTTGACAAGGCCCTGAAGTAAGACAGGATGGAAATTTAAGATTAGTCGGACATCTGAATCACTTCTAACACCACAGCACAACTGAATAATTAAAACTACTCCAAAACTCTCTGGAGTGCACATTCTTCAGATACTGGAGTTCGTTGACACAGAGGAGGGAAGGAGGGAGGAGCTGCTGGCAGCGGAGCTCTGTGGCTGCCAGCTGCTCCTCTGAAATCAGTGGTTGGCCATGGGCACCAGAACAGCAGATCTGGAGACTGCCTGATGTTTTATGAAATATAAAAAGGAAACATGTAGAATGGGACACAGGAAATTATCCTTATATATGAATATATGATTTAAAATCAACCCTAAACAGACCTCTTCTCTATGATAATTTGCCTGAAACAAACAATAACCTATAGCCGATGTTTAAATTCTGATTTCTTCATAGACAGATCTTCATGGAGAGGACTTTTTCATTTCATTTGTATGACAACATCATGCTCTTTGATAACTTTACTGAATCTCTCATATCTACTTCTATTCCTTAAAAAAACTCTCCTTTATTCAATGATAAGAAGGATCACACTGGGAAAGAGATGTTGCTATTAAGATTTTTGGAAAGAAAAGGAGCAGGGCTTGAAAGTGATCCTTTTAATTCATGCTGCTAAATTGAGGATTAGCCTTCATTCTTTTTCTATTTCTAATTCTTTCTTTCAGCTTCTATATATTCTAAAGAACATAAAACCAAAGTTAGAGCTGGTCTTTTTAATAAAAAGAAATATTCTTTTACTAAGTTCTTCTATCTTTACATAAAGAGTGACTCGCAATATCTCTCTCTATAAGAGAACGGCAGATGGACAGAAAGGTGGGCAATGCATGTGTTTTTGTTGTAAAAATAGGGAACTCTTAAAATATAAATGCTTAGAAGCAACATGAGAATAACATATCTTCAGGATACATTACTTTGTTTCCCCCTAGAAAGGAGCAAAACAAAAAATGTTGATATTCATTACTCTTACACCTCTCCACCAGAAGCAGCCTGTGGATTTTGTTTCCTGTTATACAAGCATGTCAATGTCCTACTTTAACTTTGTCAGACAGACTTCCCTGCTATTACAAATGCATTCTAACAAAAATTCTGAGTCTGCATAATGACTTATCTCTTCCTCTTTGTATATTTCCTCTAATAGACTCAGAGAATGCATGGTTTACAATTTTTGCCTGATATTTTTGAGCTCTTCTTCCAATATTTACAAAAGAATTGGCTAATTAAGATTGTGGTTATTAGTTTTCCTTTGCTCTTTCTCAAAGCTGATTAATAAAATACAGTGAAGTGGTACCCTTTAATTTGTTAGATAAAATCATAATAAGACTCAGTGATCGAAAGAAAGATAGATCATCTGTTCAGTTTTCATAATCTTTCATTCCTTTCTTTTATTTAGGAGATGATAATTAAATGTGAATTGAGATGGTATGTCATACACAGTATAACAAATTAGAAATGTTTAAATTAGAAATAAATATTCCAGTTGACACTCCTTAACATTGTGAAGAATCAAAAATTATTAGAGCTAATAAATGAAGGTTTTTCTTCATGATTTGAGTTAATTTATCAGAGACATGATACATTTTTAAGAGATAGCCTGTAGTTTGGCCCCCAGTTGTTGACTTCTGTCCTTTCCACATATTAAATATTAAGTAGCAAAGACTAATGTCTTTCTTCCAGAATTACCACATAAAATACTAGTGCTGTCATAATGATAATACTATAAAATATGCCCCTTTCAATTAGCCAGGCTATGGATTAACAATGTTAGAGATTCAGAAATGTATTAATTGACTACATGGTTGAGTCAAATTGGATCTGACAAGGTATCTCTGTATCATGTTCCTAAGTCTTCTGCAAAATCGAGGTAGAGACATGCCTGAACAAGGTTTACTGTCAATGTAGCTCTCAAGTTCTATTTGGGATATAGCACAGTTTCAAGTTCTTGACTCAGACTGTCAAGAAAATAGCTAAATTGTAGCAAAGAACTGTGAGAAAGTGTTTGCTAGATCCATGCAAGGTAAAGAAGTTTGCTGTTTTTGGCTGTGGAATAGTTAATTTTCTTCAGGTGGCTAGTATGGGGCTGTGTTTTGGATTTGTGCTGAAAACTGTTAATAGAGATGTTTTGGTTGTTCCTAAGCTGTACTTGCATAGAGCCAAAGCCTTTTCTGATTTCTGTGCTGCTGCACTGGCAAGGGGACTGAGTGTGCATGGGAAGGTGGGAGGAGACACACCCAGGGCAGGTGACTCAAACTGACCCAAGGGATATTCCAGACCATAGGGCATCCTGCTCATTACACAGAGTGTAGGGAAGAAGGAGGAATGGGGAAAGGTTTGGAGCTGAGGCACTGATGTATAACCATTGGTGTGTTGGAGTCCTGCTTTCCTGGGGAAGACCTAACCACTGCCCATTAAGCAGTGAGTCAATGCTTTGTTTTGCATGCTTGCATGTCCAGCTTTCCTTTACTTATTAAACTGGTTTTATCTCAACCTGTGAGTTTTCCCACTAATTGTTCTCATTCTTTCCCCACTCTCTCTGACAGGGGAATGAGCAAGCAGCTGTGATGTGGTTTCTGGCTGGAGTTGAACCATGACAGGAAGGCAAAACCAAAGACAGGTAAACTTAACAAGCAGAAGATTGTGAGCAACTCAAGCATTCAGCAGATAATATGCGCTCAGAAAAAGTTATCAAAGCATTAAAAGAAAAAATAGGGATTAGGCAGAGAGCAGCTCAGCATGTCAAGGCTCAACTTGATCCAAGGAGCAAAGAAGGTTCACTTTTCTCCACCTGATCCATGAAAACTTGGTGAAAGATTCATTATATTTACTGTAGGGTGGTGAACATTTAGTGTCTAGCAGCTTGTTCCTGTAGCTACATTTATGTGAATAAACTGGTAGCTGATTAGTATTTTTAAATTATATATATCTTGCACATAGTTTTCTATATTCCCAAAAGGAGCCTGAAGTAGGATGGTTGCAATATGGTTCCTGAAGTGGGATTCTTTTTTTTTTTTTTTTTTGAGATCAGTCTGGTGTCTTTTGCACATAAAATTTGGTACTGCAAGTTCAAAGACAGCTAAACAGCCCCAAAAGAACATATGAAAACAATACAGCTGGACCAAGCCAACATAACAATCTGGTAAAAGAGATGGAAAATTCAGTGTAGGAATATATAGGTACCTCATTGAAAGTAAGTTCACAGTCAGAAAAATCAATCAATGCTGAGGATGAATAAGTAAATCCTATTATACCATATGAAGTTAGGTTGAAAAAGTGCCCCCTCCCCATCATGTCTGTGTTTGCCATATTAATTTGCCTCTGAGGAATCTCAGACTCTAAAAAAAAAAATACCCAGCACATTATGTACTGAAAAAGGGTAATAAAGCAGCTCTAAAATAAAGGTTAGTAGAGAAGGGAATGTGAACAACATTCTTCAAAATATCACATGGACACCATGTCTCAGATAGAAAGCTTGTGGAAAAGATGACAATAGATCCCACAAAGGTGCAATTTTATAATTGACAAGCTTTGCCCTCCTTTATTGTCTCTTTGTTACAGGTTAGTAACACTTCTAATGGGAACATCCAGGGTACATGGATAGTATTTCAGTTTATCAAGGAATGGAGATTTGATTAACTTCTTTTTCAAAAGTTATTTCTCACTGTGGTTGATTTTCTGTTCAATAGAATGCTTGTATCTGACTCTAGCTAAGTAATGACTATTTGCATTTTTCAAAGCTGAGCATGGTGTTATGACCAAAGAGATTCCTGTTTGAAATTCATCAAAAATTTAAAACTAGTTCTGTTTTCAAAACTTGCCCTTATGGGTCTTAAAAATAAGGCAATATGTTCTAAGGACAAAGCTTCAGTCTTTCCTCTGACTTCAGTCAGAGATTTGACATTATTTAGAGAGAGTTCTTTGATAAAGATTCATTTTTTAAATCTCCAATGGAAGAATAAATGCAGACAGATAAGTAAATATACTCTTATGCTGTATTTAAATTACATATTTATTTTATTCCTCATAGATTGAAATGGTGTGTTTGGAGAGGTTCCAGTATGTTATGCAAACTTATTTTTAATGTATTTTATATAATAGCCAAATAATAGCAATAAGAGATGGAAAAGACCTATTGTATCTGGTTTTTTACCCAGACAGGATTGTTTCTTAAATGTTCTATAAATGTTTCTAGTCATGGGCAAAGTAAATCAAAGTATATTGGAATAATTCCTTTTCTGAGTGCTGGCTTCTGACCATGATCCCTCTGTTTAAGGTCAGAAAATAGTTACCATTCAATCAAGAGAATAATTTACCACCCTTCTTCCATTTTTTTTTTTATAGTCTGTTATTTATCTGCATCTATACTTGGATCACATTGATCAAGAATAAATTTACAGCCGACTTACAAATCGGCAAAGAATTTAACGTGTAAAAGAAGTAGGAGTATAGCGAGGGACAAAATCTATTTGCTTCCCAGTTGCTGTATACAACTGTATAATATACAGCAGTTGCTGTATACAATGAGTTTTAATTGATTTCAGGTTTAGTTCTGAAGTTAAATAAAGTGCCATTTAGCCTGCTGCACCCTTGCTACCACTTACTACATATTGCTATTCTCAAACCACTTCAGTGCAAGTAAGCTGTAAGTAAAGGTGTGCTGAGTAAGGTTTTTGGGTTTTGCCATCAGCAATGTTACATTTTAAAGCAGAAGTGGAAGGAAAGTGAATATTATAATGACTCAACATGCTCAAATGCAGCATTTTGTCTTAATAGAAAGTTTTCCAGCTGTACTAAGGCACCAGAGAAACCCACAACAGGCTTTTAACAAAAGGCTGTTTAGCACCCTTGAATTAGCTCTGAATGATCTGTGGATCAGGGAAATTCCCTATCTGCAAGTCTGTATATGAACTCTGAATCTCAGAGGCTGTATCCACACTTTTTTAAAATTAAGCCCAGACTTCTCACCAGACCAACAGCCACAAACACACCATTCCTATGGCAGTGAACTCTTAGTCTTGGGTGACTACACCCACATTGCTTACTGCTGTAGTCCCCATAATGTTCTGCCTTCTCCTACCAAAAATCTTCAGACCTATCTCATTCTCATTGAAATTAATTCTTCCTGAAGCCCTTCTCTTTCATATCAACATTGAAGCAATCTCTTTCCATAGTTAGAAAGTAAAATTAATGAACTGTAATGTGCAATCCTCTATTTAATTATTACCCATTAAGCTGCTTTCACTCATCCACCTCATACATAAAAAAGCCCTGCACAAATATCTACAACACCAAAATATATTTAAAAGGCCTTATTAATTACTATAACAAAAGTAGTACAAAAACCTACTAAAAAATGCATGCAGCAGAACAATTGAGAGCACCAGGTGTCAGCACAAGAGCTTTATGGGTCAAATTATGCATTTCTTTAAAGTAAATGAAAAATTTTATTGCATAATTAAATGTTGTGGGTTTTGAGTAGTATTTAAAATTGGAAGTTTATTTGAAAAAACAACCTGAAGATTTTATTATAAGGTGAATATTTCATCTGGGTGATGTGACACTGGTTATTCAAGGGCTACAATAGTTCCTATCCACTTTGCATAATGATCTATATCTTCTCATGAGTGTAAAAAGACATTAACTTTATTCATATGACTATTTCTAAAATGTATCAACCTGATGAAAGATGCTGATGTCTTTCCTATATACCCTTAAAACCTGTCCATGGTACAATGTTTTTGCTTTTGCAAGTTTTCACAACTAAGTTTTACTTTATTTTGGTGTATCATATAAAAGCAATGCTGCTTCTCACTGATTTGTAAATTATTTCTCTAGAGTATTTGTCACATTTTGTGAAATTGTAATAGAGTTCAAAGAGTTCTGCTTCAAGTGTTGATATCTGTAACCTTTTGGGTTTCAGTATGTTTCCCATTTACTAATATTCTTTTTAGAATAAACTAAGGAAAATTAAGGTGACTGGGGAGCTGTATTGTGTATTATTTTCAGGTTGTGATCTCCAGAGACAGAACTCTATCTTGATATTTGTAGTTTGAAATACTGGGTAAGACCAATGTCTTTTTTATTATCCACTGCTATTTAGGATCCTCTTCCATTTATTTTTGTAAGAATTGGAAGCAATTATTTGGCTGTTGACAACAGAAAAGAACAGTATTTGTATTAATAGCCATTTTGGATATCACTACTGTAATAAAAGTGTACATACCTGGCTTTATCCCAAAGTACTGATTTGTACTTATGTTTAAAGCATCCACACCAATCACTGACACTTTTTTCTCTTACTGCATGGAATTTAAGAGCAGAAACCCTATCACACAAGGCAGTAAACTGAGTTGTAAAGACCTGCTTAATTCCACAGATACAGCTGATTCCTGGCCACTGCAGTGAATGTCTGAGGATAGGTTATACTTTTTACTAGGACATCTTTAACAAATGTTTAAACTACAAGAGTTGTAATAACATACAATAGGTATCCTTCATATCTTAAAATATTATAGTAGCTTACTTACTACCTGAATACAAATCACAGAATCATAGAATAGCCTGACTTGAAAGCTACCTAGAAGGGTCATCAAAATCTAAGTCCTGGTTCTGAACAAAACAACCCCAAGAATCCAAGAATTACATCATGCACCTGAGTGCATTGTTCAAACACTTGTACTCCGTCAGGCTCGATGTTGTGATCTCTTCCGTGGGGAGCCTCTGGTGATATTTCTTAAATATCTAACCTAAATGTCCCCTGACACAATGTCATGCTGTTCCATCAGATCCTGTCACTGGTCACCACAGGGGAGTGATCAGTGCCTGCCCCTCTTTCCCTTGTGGGAAAGCTGTAGAGTGCAATGGGACTCCTGTCCTTGTTAAAACTTCACAGCTGATGATTGACCAGCTCTGATTTGTCTGGGTCTCACTGCAGGGCCTCTCTGCCTTCCAGGGAGTCAGCACCTTCTCCCAGTTTAGTATCATCAAAGTTAAAAATCATGCAAAAAAGTTGCAAAAAGACAAAAATTCTACTAGCACACCAAAATGGAATCCCATAAACTCCCGCTTCCTCACTCTCCCCACCTTTAATGTTACAGAATGAATGTCCCACACCAAAATTTGTACTTCCTTTTGCATTCTTAGCCCTGCTCCTCATGAATGAGAGTCACATAATACACAGCAGTTCCACTTACAGCTTGAGTTAGTAATAACCTTAACAACAACAGAGCTTACACATCATTCCCAATAGTATTTTCAACCTCGTAGAATAGTAAATGTTGTCATCACTTAGGAGGGACAAAAATCTGTTAATACCTGGTTTTAATGCACATTTTCAACATATATATTGAATATGTATTATGCATTAAAGTTAAAACATTGCTAACTGAATCAAGAATATTTTTTTCCCTCAATTAACATGCCCAAATGATTTTGCAATCCACAGAAAATGGCAAATACTATACGAAAGCAGCTGAGAAAATGTAAAAACGTTTAGGAGCAATAGGAAACAATAGGGAAAGTATAGATAGGACCAAATGTTAAACACAAAAGGTCTAGCTCAGTTTCTATTCCTGTTTAGATATTAGGATTTCTTTTAAATTTTAAATTCACAACTCA